AAATAAAAAAAAAAAAATGATCAAAGAAAAAGACTAAAAAAAAAAAAAAAAAAAGGAAAAAAAAAAAATCTACCCGTCCAAAGAGAAATTAAAAAAACAAAAAAAAAAAAAACTAAAAAGAATAAAACTATGAAATAACAAGGAGAAAAAAAACAATTAAAAAAAAATAATTCGCATATTATTATTGTTATTACGCCCGGCTCCGAAGCCATTTGATTTTTACGGAGCCACTCTGGGTGCGAATAGTCATTTGCAATTAAAGGTACCCGGGTACCTATAATGTAGTTGTCCTTCCTCCATTTACGGTGACAATGTTTTAATATGTACTGCTTGACCACAATTTAAAAAAAAATATAAGTTTTAAGAATTTAAAACTATAGAATAGGACCAGATATTATTTTGCAACATAAGAAGTATCTAGAGATTATAATTTTAAAAACTTCACATACACATTTTATTTTTGAAGATATTGAATCCTACCAAAATATTATATATATATAAAAAACAACAAACAATCACTGCAGTCAAGGAATTCTTTTTTGGGGTACTTGACTGACCCCGAACCGTTGTGATAAACAATATGGCGGATACAAGTAAATTGTCAAGAATTATTGGTGTGCTCTTTACATTAGATTAGACATTATCCATTGGTGTGTATGGGCCTATTTTCTTTCAATGTAAGTAGGTCTTATTATCTGTAATCTATTGGTATTTTGGAAAATAATGAATTCATTTAAAGTCTTTATTTTATAAATAGCCAGCGATGTTTTAATAAGTTTAGTAAAAATAAAAGTTTTACTTAAAAAAAAAAGGAATTAAATTTGAGTCATTAAACCGTCAATCATCAATGAAAATGGATGGACATCAAAATTCAATCAACTTTATTTTTCTAAACTAACTCTGCTTATTACAAATTAAATACTAATACATACTTATAGTTTTTAAGTTAATTTATGATTAATTCATACATTCATTATAAAATCTTTAAAAATGCTAATGCCAGCTTTACTGACTGGACTCTAGCAATCAACTGTATGACTACTATGACACTATTGAAAAAGGTTAGTTAGTTTTATTCAATATACAGTCTTGCTGAATAAAAAGTTGAATTATTGAATTTTTAAAAGATAATTTATTCAGCTAAGTTAATTCAAAGTAGTCCTACTTATTTGAAAATACATAACTTTTAATGAATTAAATATGAACACAAGGGGTCTCATTGTAAATAAGTGTCAACTATAACTAAGTTACTAACTTAAGTACCATTGTTTGAGAATATATTTATTAAGGCAGTAACGTAATGATCCATTCAGTTCTGGGTACATTTAGTTTTATTGTTAAGTTAGCTTTGCATATAAAATTATTTAAAAAATATCTTTCTCTGAAAGGTGATCAAATTTTCAACAAATCATGCAAGCATATTCTAAGCCTTTGTCACTCTGGAGTCTTGTTGAACAAATAGTTCCACCTCATGAGCATGGTGAGATTAAAGAAATGTTGGGCTCATCACTTGTAGAGCAAAGCCTGGAACTTCATTATGAGGTAGATTGTTTATTTTCAGCATGGACTTTTAATAATGAATAACACAATTTTATTTCTATGCTGATGGTATTGGCAGGGCAGGCACTAGGGGATGGCGAAGTGGGCGACCGCAAACGTTTACGGGGCCTTGCACGTTGCTGTAGTATATTTATAATATACCTAAGCCTACTAATAGTACCTTATCCAGTCAACACAATATTCGGAAACTAAGCGAGTGAAAAAATATCCGTTATGATGCATCCCATTATGACCAGCAAGGCACCAGTATGACTATAACATGTCTTTATATCCTTTCGGCGGAATATATAACGTCAACGGCCTCGCAAAATTCAATTTAGGCCCTGGTATTAGATGTGTAGTAAGACACTTCACATCAACTCTATGTACTTTTTATATGTTTGCTAGATGATGGCATTATGTATTTTTAATTTTTAAATGATACATATGAAAGCCATCAATATTTTTAAAGACTATACTAGATATAATTTTTCATTTACTTGTTTAAGAAATTTAATTTTATGCAATGAGTGGTCTCAGTTCATTCTGATAAATTCAAAAGATTTCAATGCTCTTGGAGATTTGGAGGGAGATGCGGGATGAGCAGAAAGAAAAGACATTGTCACCTAGAGGTCTACCTGAACCACCCAATCAAAGAAATAGACTTGTGCAAGAGATTTGTTTCTTTGTTGAAAATGTAAAGGAAAAAGCCAAACAGAAAGGAATGTAAGTTAAAATTATCAAAATGAAAATAATATTTCCACTTGCTAAAATCATTGACAAACTAGTATTTAATAAAAGTTCTATTATTAGTTCTGTTGTAATTGTTAACAGCAAATTTGTTTATTCTTTCAAGCTTATTTGCTCGATTTTAAATTTCCAAGCTGATAACCAAACAATAATATACACTAAATTCCTTAATGGAAGAGTATTTGGGCTCATAAAATATGACAATGATCATCTCTTCAAAGATATTTGATTATGAGCAATAGCTATACTAAAAGGCTGTCATGTAGAGCATAAAACAGAGCAACAAAAATGTCAAATTTATTTTGTATGCCTGAAAGGCTCAAAGTGATGTAGAGCAGGTAGATATTCATCAAAATATATAAATATCTTGAATAGCTCACAAAACAAGAAGGATTCATATGAGGTTTAGGCCAATGGTTTTATTAGATATTCACTGATAATGGTCATATGGGATATTGATAAGGGATGTCCATCTTTATCACTTATTGTAGATTTATGATTTAAATTTTATAATTTTTGTTTATAGGGATTAGTATTATTGTTTTAATTATTTATACAATTCCCTGTAGTTTATATTTGATAAAAAGTCTTAGTGATTACATTTATGGAAAATATAAAATGAGGTTATAAAACTTAATTAACCCCTGAGGCACATACACCAACCATTTATTTAAAAAAAGATATTTCAAATATAAATTGTAATTAAAGTTATGAAATATTTCACGTCATAACCTTTTTTCTGTTTTGTATATTAAATTTATATGTTTTATGATTTCTCCGCAGTGATCCTCAGCATATATTGAAGAGGCATAATTCAGATATTATCGATTATGCAACTGAAATTTCAAGTTAGTACTTATATAATAATGGTATATTTCAGCTAAATGTGGTGAAAATGATTAAACTTATCCAAAAAAAAAGTGGAATAGGCTGGGGTACCGCACTATATAAGACGTCTTATTATTATTATTATTAATATATTTAATTAAGATTTCATAAAAGTAAAAATGGCAGCTTAATAAGAAATTTTTATAAGAAATGAAGCATTTTTTTGAGGTAACAATTTTTCTGAACTAAATTGAATAATCCTATAAATTAACATAATCACTTAAGTTATTTTCAGTTAATTATGAAGAAGGTACAATTATTTGATAGTAATTTGTAAGCAAGTTCAACTGTTTTTCTAAAGTCATGATTTAATGTCTTTTTTTGTGTTCACTCTTAGGGCCAGGCTCAGCTGTAAGTAGAACATCCAGATCATCAGATGGGAAGGAAACACCTATGATGATGATTTCTGCTGAAAGGTGAGCATTTTTCCCTATCATTTGCTTTCATTCAGTCTTTGACTGTGCTTAAGTCAATGTCTAAGGAACCCCAAATCTGTTTTTCGGCGGCTTCTTTTGGGGCTGTATGCAGGTTCTGGTTTCTGGTCCATTGATATCCTCTCTTTGAACTATTCAAGTTCACTAGCTATTGTTAGTTTTTCATTAGGTACAACAAACTTCTGCTCTTAATTCAAACATTAAATCCCCAATTCATTCACTTTATGTAGCTACTTTCAAATTATGATCTAAACAAAAGAGTAAAAACAACTTTATGTGTGAAATGCATATTTATTAACCCTGGTTAGAATTTTTTTGATCTATATGAGTTGAATTTAACATAAAATAGGTTGGAAATAATGATGGCTCTGATTCATCTCTCAGCAAAGATAGCTTGACAAAATGTACTAATATAACACTGCAATGTACGAGATAAGTTTTTTTTAAAAGTACTACTTGTATTTGCAACATGTACAGTAATTTTTATTATTTTTTATGATGATTTTATGTATTATAGTGGAATTATTTCTATTGCTACATCTTTTGATAGAATGAACCTGGCCTATGAAATCACAGATGAAGTCGAGGCAGTTAATAAACAACTCAACTATATGGACTTTGACAGAGTGTGTCGTAATTTAAGGTAGTTAAAAAAAGTGTCACTTCTTAAACTTTAAAAAAACATATTGATTCTAATAAAGTATGAGATGAATATTTTTGAGTTGAAATATCTTTTAAAAGGGATGTGGAGATATTAATTTCATAAAATCTTTGGGTTGTATAGTTTGAATCAACACTATTTTCTTAGAGTCTGAGTAATGAAAATTTCACTTGATACAACTGTCAGTGTCAATGTTGCCCTAAAATGTTTGTTTTTTAATCTTCCTTCTCCATTTAATTTTATGAAGCATTGACTAAGAATAACTCCATGGCAACCAGCCTTGTTGACCTCACATGATGGCCATAAAAATAAGATCGTTGCACTATAAACTCTTTTAATGTCATGATTATGTTTGCTAATATTTTTATGTGCAGCACGGTGAGCCCAGCCTTAGGCTAGGTTACTGCGCTATAATATAAGACCACTGTAATAATAATAAATAATAATAACTTGAATACATATTTTTTTACTTATAGTTATACTTCGATTTTAAATTTTCCTTGTCTTTATTTTAAAATATTTATGTGTGCTAGAAGCTGATTATTTATTTAATTATTCTCCTGTACCTTGAGGCAGTGGGGATTTAATTATTCACCCTTATTGTATCTAGGAATAGGATACTTGATTAATATATACCCAAGCAATCCTTCCAAGCACAGAAATTCTCCACGAAACAATTATGCTTTAAAAATGTGGAACAAAATTTACTTTACACTTTATAAGGGTGGGCTATAGGAATAAATAAATGAAGGAGAGTGAACGTAATGGGCATTTGATATTTATAATAATCTTACCTTATTATCAAGCCAGCCTTTACATAAACATATTGTTTCCATTGAAATCATAGATCAACTCTAGAGAAAGAACTTGAGCAATTGCTGGAAGACATTCAGTTTTTGCAAGGTTGTTTGGATGCTGAGGCTGACATAAGAGACTGTGTGACTCCACGACCCTCAACCAGGGAACCTACATTGATGGGTACATTTGCTTTGTGATGAATAATTGTGTTTGCTAAGAATAAAAACTTATTTTTATGTATAAGTTGATAGGAATGGGTAACTTTTACAATTCCATAATTAAATTAGTTACGAGAAAAAAAAGAATGTTAACCGGTATGTAAAATTTCTTAAACTCAGTTGCAGGTAATTATTAAATTGTTATTTATTGAAAATATAAAAAAAATATTCAAAAGCATATTTAAAAATATTTGTGTGAGCATTAAAAACCCCTGAGCATTATCCAGAAGTTCTGCCAATAGTTTTAAACATTGAACAGCTCTCTGGTTTTGTGCCATGCTTAGCTTGAAATTAGAATAGAGTACCGGTACCATAATTTTACATTTCCCCCCCAATTTTTTTTTAAAGTTCATGATTTTGTTTTTCTTTCCCTGTTTTGTGAGAACACATGTGAAAAATTCAAAGATTTAGGAAATATTGATTTGGGATATTTCTCTTTAAACCTGGGAATTATCAGCTAGCTGTTATTAAATAGGGTCCATTTTTTTCACTGGTTTGTTTGATAAAATTCTTAATTTACATTTTTAAAGAAATTAAATTTAATTAAAGATTTAAACAAAAAATGCCCCCCCCCCCCCACACCCTCCCCCTTTTATTTTTGCGCCCCCACCTCTACAATTTGCAATGTTTGTTTTAAAAAAATTATAATTTACATTTTTAAAAACATTAAAATTAATTAAAAAATTAAAAAAAAAATGCCCCCCCCCCCCCACACCCTCCCCCTTTTATTTTTGCGCCCCCACCTCTACAATTTGCAAAAATGAGTTTTTTCATAAATTTTCATTTAGAACTGAGAGAAGAGAGATCATTACTGGAAAAAGAACTCTTGGCCACAGGAAATTTAACAGCAACTCCATTTGTCAACAAACCTAATTTCAATAAAGAGCTGTAAGGCACTCATTTTTATTTATTTAGGTTATGAGAATATCAAGATTAAGCATTTTTGGATTCGGGGGTAATTAGATTAATGATTTTTTAAATATTCTTGTTGCAGTTGAATTCAGTTGACTTAAGAAGGTTCAACAAAGAATTAGCATTAATTTAATAACAAACTTTTAAGGTGAATTAAAAAAAAAAAGTGATTGAATTTTGGCTATTCCAGATTGTAATGATAGTATTGATTGTTGGCTACTTGCAAGACTAATATTCATCTCTCTCATTCTCAGGGTGCTACCTCAGACTCCACCTAGTTCCAGTGACTCCTCCCCTCCAGTTATGCCTGCGTTGGTCTTAAAATGTTCCGACATGAAACATCTGCATGAAAATATTCCGCCCAGCGACAGGCAGTCATCACCTGTTTTAAAAGCAGGCCCCTTGAAAGCATCACATCAAATTGTCCATGCCGTTGCCAGCACTGCACCTGCCACACCTAATGTTAAATTATTACCTTCCAAATCCGTTGTTGCGGTGGGCCAGGTGCAGGCAACCCCTGTCAAACCCCGCCCACCATTTGGCTCTCACAGTGAAGGAGACATCAGAACTGTTACTGTACAAAAACGACCCAATCACATGCCACACAATGATCACTTGTCATCTTTCACTGTGACTAAACCTCGTGACATGGTCTTTCCCGGTGGTGCGCGGAGAAGAAACATCAGTCCAGGAAGGCTGAGGGTCGTGGACCTGGCAAGCATTGTAGATATCCATTCGGGGAAAGGCGAGTCTGTCGGACTGCACGTAGACTCCTCGCCAACCTTTTCATCATCGTCATCATCATCAGCCTCATCGATATCCTTCACCACCTCCCCACCTACAGATCTATCGGACAGAGACACTGTGATCCGACCCGGAAGTGCCCACGCTGACAGGTTCAGAAAGATGGTGCAAGGATGCAGAGATGGGGAATGATAAAAAAAGCAGTCAGAAATTAGTTTTTTGTTTGGTGTGGGTGAGGAGATCAAGCGTCACTGATATAAACGGATGTGCATGAACTCCTGAATAAACTCTGTGATAATAATAGTTTGAAAATTTTGTTAGTGACAACCAGTTGCATAACAAATGATATTTTTAAAAGATACTTTTGATTTTTTAAAGTTTGTCTCATGTAATTCACAAGATGTTTTAAAGCCTGAAACCGTGAAGTCATATGAGTTTTTGTAAAGTGGAAGAGACAGTAATTTACACAATTTTTATGAAAAAAATGGCTTGTTAAACACTTTCTATCCAGCACAATAAAGATTCTTGTGACAACTGACTTTGTATGAGTGGTTATGACTAATAGACTAACATGTGCAGTTTTTTTGTTAACACATTTTTTTTTCTCCCCAGAATTGTAGGAGTGGAATAATTTTTTTTAGAGTTATCCTTTTCTAAATTCAACTTGTGTCTCTTTAGTAATGAAAATAAATGATTTTTTTTGCAACTAAATCGTCAGCATTAAATTTTAAGGTTTAATTGTTTTTAGATATTTAAAGAATTGAATATATTTAACTTCGACATTTAGTTGAAATGGGAAAAATTCTGTAACAAATTCATCTAATAATATTTCTCTTTTAAAAAGTTTAGATTGTAAAAATAAAACTACACGTGGACCTTGGTCCATTTTACTTTGGAAAAAAACAACAAAATCAACAAAAATAATCATAATGTTTTAAGAGACCTGAAAATTTTAATCACTAAAATTCTAATTAATTATATTTTTGATAATTCACAAATACAAAAAAAAATCCAACAAAATACCACATTGCAAACCCCTGAACCCCCACCCATCATATGACACATATCCATCCATTAAATCCTAATCCTTTAATCACTGCATTTTCTCCAACACACTTCGCTTTTTTTCTTTCTTTTTTTTGTTGAAAGAAATATGGATAAAGTAAACATATTTTTAGTAGTTCAATGCTTTTTTTTTTCTTTTCAAAGCAGCTGTTTTTATAAAACGTTTAATTGTGAGTTTTTAAGTACTAAATTTATTAAACTCTCTAACGTTTAAATTGTATGATAAAATAATTCAAATCCGAAATCAATATGTCACTGATTTAAATTGGAATTAAAATATTGTATATCAATGAATCTTATGTTTGAATGATGACTTTGAGTAATCCTATTTATTTTGTATGAAAATTTTTCATTTTTATCTACAAGTGGAACATTTTATATGAGAGCCGTCCATCAATTAAGTAAAAAATTTTAGGCCATTTTTTTAACACCCTTCCTCCTCTTGCCAACAACTGTCAAACTTTCAAGAACACTCCCCCCCCCCACACCCCCCACAATTAATTATGTCAACAATCCCCCAATAAAGTAAATACACATACAGATCTTTTTTAAATGATTCAATTTATTATTATTTTTTAAAAACTCTAATTAACATTTTTTTAAAGTATGGAACAGCTAGAATCTATGACTAGAGTCAATTTCATATTGCAGAATTTATTAAAAAATTTATGAAGTCTAAATATTATTGTTAATAAATGTATTACTATTTTTTTTTTCATCTTCACATTGATGAGCAAAATGTTCACGTTGATGAGCCAAATGTTCACATTGATGAGCCAAATGTTCACATTGATGAGCTAAATGTTCACATTGATGAGCCCAATGTTCACGTTGATGAGCCAAATGTTCCTCTTCTGCAATAGGGCATACCGACTTATTAATTTATCATTGCCATATTATTATTGTTATGAAACTGGAAGACATCATCCTTGTTTTGTTAATTCTAACTATTCAGCGTTTTAAATATTAGCTTTTTTTTCTTTGTCTCCGTGCAATCATTGCCATCACCCCTCTCTGTCTCTGTGCAATCATTGCCATCACCCCTCTCTGTCTATGTGCAATCATTGCCATCACCCCTCTCTGTCTCTGTGCAATCATTGCCATCACCCCTCTCTGTCTCTGTGCAATCATTGCCATCACCCCTCTCTGTCTTTATGCAATCATTGCCATCACTCCTCTCTGTCTCTGTGCAATCATTGCCATCACCCTCTCTGTCTCTGTGTGCAATCAATGCCATCACCCCTCTCTGTCTTTTGTCAGGTTCTCAAAATCATAGTTTATTTTTCATTGTTGAGGAACAGATGTTAATTTCTTAGGCACAGTAACACATCACTGGTCCTGTACTGACCATTTTAAATTATAAGAACTTTATAGTCCTTAAAAAATAACATTTTGCAATAAATTATAGAGGCCTCTTATTGATATATATATTTACATTCAATCCAAGGAAAATAGAATTGTTGTTAATTTGTGTTGACTCCCCCCTCCTCCTTGTCAACAATTTTCAATTTTTTTTCCAACCCTCCTTCCCACTATTTTTGATTGACGTAATTAATGGTCGGCCCAACAGGTGTACATATCCTATTTATGCAAAACTTCGCTTAAATTACGATTTAACTTTTAAAATGATCGAAACAACTTGTGCTAAGAATTTATTTCCTTGACTTGAATGGAAATATATATTTGTGTCTACTGTAGTTGGTATGATTGCAATAAATTTCATAATTGTAAAGGGAACTAATTCCTGATTCGGTTTGCTAAAATGATTTATGTAATTTTCTCCCTTTAATTTCACACCAAAAGAGCATCAAACTGTTAAGATTAAGAAAAAACAACTATTTGTATTTACCCTATTACGAGTGAGTAAAGGGTGATGAATTTTCTATTGAAAAAACATAAATATGGTTAAAAAACGTGAATCAAACCTTATATTGAAATTTTAAACATAAATTGAAAAATTAAGTCATCACACGTGCTGTACAGTACACAGTATGTAAAAAAACAGTACACAGTATTAAAAAAATATTTATATCTCCCCCCCCCCCCCCCCCCCCCC